GCCACTCAGGTTGGCATACACAACCCTGTGCAACCTCGCCCCACCACCTCTCCAGCTCCACCCCTGGGCCCCCTTGTTCCGGCTGCCCTCCCCTGCTCAGTCAGCCCAGCACCATGCATAGAGCCTGCTATGTGCCAGTCATGGTGCTGGACACTGCGGGCATGGAGACAAAGCCCCAGGGGAGGCCATGTCTGTCCAGGCCAGGGGAGAGCGGGTAACCACGTGGATCCCGAGCCTGGGAGCTGTGAGGACCCCAGGAGAAGGGGAGGGAGGTGCCCGGGATGAGCCACAGAGGCCGGGCAGGGGTTAGGGAGGGGAGCCGGGGAGACCTGGCCGTGGGGCAGAAGCTTTGGGAGGATCGGCAGCTGTGGCTGTGATTCGGGGCCCCAGCAAGGGCCGCGAGAGAGCATGTGTGAAGAGGGAGGGATGGCAGGGAGCGAAGGACTAAATAAACATCAACTGCAGGACTGAACAAGGAGGCCCGGAGAGAGGCGGTCAGGCGGCTCTGGCCTGGTCAGAGAGGCGCAGAGTCGGGGCATGGTGCAGACGGGACACTGTCCCTCACCATGGGGTCCCCCGGCAGCCAAGCCCTTCTCCCCTGACTCCATGTGTCAAATTCCTCCACCTCCTGCGAGCCCAAATCAAATGGTGCCTCCTCCTGGGAGCCTTCCGGGTCCCTCCCTGCTGGAATCACTTGCTCCCTCCTCTGTGCCTTCCAAACCCGTAGCAACGTCATCACCTGATCTTTATTGCGGGGGTCTGTGGTTACCCTACAGCCCCGACTGAGTCTCATGAGGGCAGGGAGGGGTCTTCTGTCCTTGGGCCACTGACATTAAGCCGAGCTGCCTCCACAGAGGAAGCCCCGGGCCCTCCGAGGGCCGCGGAGAGCGGTAGCACCCTACGGCTCCGCGGGCCCCGCCGCGCGCCCGGGTGCGCACGGATGCCGGGCTGGCCGAGCCTCGGGTGGCGGCGCCGTCGCGGTCGGGACGCACTTGCTGCACCTCGGTGCGCACACGCCCAGCCGGCGCCAACCGCCTCCTCCCGCCGCCCCTCCGCGGGGGCCCACGCGTGAGCCGGCGCCCGCTCGCCGTCGGCACGCCCGGCCCGGACTCCACGCCCCGAGGCCGCCCCTCTCCGCGCACTGGTGGGGGAGGGCCTGGTTGCCGACTGCACGGAGGTGCGGCCTAAGGGGCGCCCCCTAGTGGTAAAGACCGCCCCCCAGCACCCTTTTCATCAGAAGAACAGGGCCAGTGAGGCCACCTCGCCCCAGGACCCCAGCAGCCTCCTGCGTGGCCTCCCTGTTTCAGCCCCCGCCCCCTACAGTCTCTTCCCGACTGAGCAGCCAAGAAAGACTTTTAAATGTAAATCACGCCACTCTTCACTCTGATAAAATACCCCGCCAAAACCCCAGATCAGCAAAGTGCCTGATCTTCCTTCCTGACCTCACCTCCTATTACGCCAGCTGCCACTCACTCCCCTCCAGCCACACAGGTCTTCCTCCTGTTCCTCAAACACCCCAGGCCTGCTCTGGCCTCAGGACATTTGCACTGCTGTTCCCTCTGCTGGAATGCCCTTTCCCCAGCACCTCCCTGGCTCCCTCTCTTACTTCCTGGTGGTCCCTGCTTACCTTTGACCTCCTCAGAGAGGCCTTTCCCATCCCAGCAGTGTCTAAAACGGCATCCCATTACCCAGCTTCATCTTTCTTCAAAGTACTCATCACTCCCTATGTTATCAGTTGTCTATCCTACTAGCAATAATAAATGCTCAAAAAAGTGAAGGTTTTGTATGTCTTGTTCACTGCTCTGTTCCCCAGTGCCTAGAACAGGAACAAGATGTAGTAGGTGCTTAATAAATATTTGTTCCATGCCAAACAGCACTTCATTCAGCCCACACGAGAAGACCATCATTCGCCCATTTCATGGATGTGGAAACTGAGACTCAGAGCGGTATGGGACCTGTCTGCAGACACATGAGCTTGTCAGAGTTGGAGCTGGGGCTCCAACCAAGCCAGGTCCCTCCCTCTGCCTCTCTGCTCTCCATCTCATGTCCCGCCTGGAAGAGAATACAGGTGGTTTTTCCCTTCCCTCACCCGGGATGGGCAAGACTGACAACCAGTGACTCTAGACAGGGTGCGAGCTGGTATCTTCCTCGAAGGTCCTGCCCAGGAGCCCACGGGGAGGGAGATACCACTGTCTTCCCAGCAGGCAGGCCCAGCTTTGACCCTGCCCACCTTTCCCCAGAGCCACCCAGCCTGCTCCCCACCCCCTACCCCCAGCCCCACCCCCACCACCTACCTCCTTCCTTTCAGCCATCACTGGCCCCGAAATACCCTCAGCCAGATCTAGAGGCTGCTTTTCTCATCTCTGTCCCACCAGAGATACAGTGAGAAAGAGAGAGACATAGAGACAGAGAGAGAGAGAAGCACAGGGGGAAAGAGAGAGAGAGAAAGCAGCAGAAACAGAGACATTCAGCAGACACCAACAGAGAGAGACGGAGGAAGACGCGAGAGAAGAGAGAAACCTGGAGAGCAGCAGAGACTTGCCAAGTTCTGGCCTAATGGCTCAACTCAAACCCGCAGGCCTGACCAGGGCCACTGCCAGCCCAGTTGGCCCTTTTGAGCAAATTAGAGAGAGGCACGCTGGCTGGGTTTCAGAGCCCTCTCGCCCTTGAGCCAAGCACCCTGGTGCAGGACCCGACCTGCACAGCAGTGCACACAGCCCTCCCCCGTGCATCCTGCACACCCAGGATGGGAGGGCGACTTTAAATGCCACCCAGTCCTCAGGTCTGCCCCACAGATGAGTCTGGGTTGTTCCCTTGAAGGCTTCCAGAAATGCCTGGGCTCGCTCGGTGTGGGCCATGAGCCTGAGCCCAGCCCTCTGGACTCGCCCGTTGGGCCTTCCTCCACAGCAGGTCCTTGGGCCATGTCACCCTGCCTTCGCCCCTCAGCAGTGTCGAGCCAGGCCCATCCACAGAAACCAACCCAGGGCCCTGCGGGGCTGGGAAGGGGTCCTCACACATGTGTCAGCCCACAGCCCCCCTTCCTGCTCCAGCGCAGCACCAGCAGCCACATGTCCCAGCCTCCAGCCCTTCCTCTCTGTGGTTCATAGGAACCCTGGGAGTGGACGAGGAGGTGCCATGGTCCTCACGTGCCAGAAAGGGAAAGCGAGGAGCAGAGACGGGAGTGGTCAGCACAGAGTCCTACAGACTGAACCAAGGTTTCTGCCCCCCCAACGCCCCAGCAGCCCCACTCTTTTGGGGTCCAAGGATGAGACGCTCCTGTCCCCAGGAGCTAAGGTGGCCTATGAGGGACCCTATGAGCCTGAGCTGACAGCGGGGGCCTGGGCTGGCCCGACCCACTGTGGTGCCTGCCTGTGCCCAGCAGCCACTGGCCGGCCCCACCCAGAGGGCAACGGGGCGGGGCAGAAGCTCTGTCCTTGAGCGCTCTGGGCCGAGCGAGTCCCCGCTCCAGCCTGCGCCTGGCCAGCACGAGGCTTTGGGGCCTATCAGGAAGGGGGAAGGAGGCCAGGTGTCCGGTCCATGAGGAGTGCTATGTCCATGTAGGGGTGTCAGGGGGGTCTAGGTGCAACCCCCGAACCCACAGTCCGCCCTCCAAGGCCCCACCCTTCCCAACGGCCAGCACTCTGGGAGGACATAATTAAGGCACAGGTGAGTCATACGGTCACAGGCTGCTTCCCCGCTGACTCAGGGGGCAGTCCAGATGGGCCCTTCCACCAGCCCCCAGCTCAGAGCCTGAGTCAAGGATTCCAGGGGCATAGCCGGGAAGCCCAGGAGAAGGCCCCCGGCCTGCTGTGAACCACCCACCCTCTCCAAACTCGCCCCCTCACCGCACCCCCCCCAACCCCGGCAGACTCCCACCTCCACTGGACCTGCTGGGCTGGGGCGGGGGACCAGGCTGCTGCCATTTCCCCACCCCCACCCCAAGCACGAGCCATGGGTCCAAACAGACAGCTGTTATCAATCACAATGATCATTAAGAGTGGCTGCCTGTGTTCCGACAGTGAACTTCAGCTCGGCAACCGGCCTCAGGCTAGACACAGTGGGGGCTTGTGGAGAACAGCAGACAAGCTTCTGCAAATAGCAGCTGTGTAGAGAGGACTTGGGCGCCATGTGAGCTCTCTTTCTCATTTGCATGCTGGATGCTCAGAGCCTGGACCCACCCAGAAGGGAAGGAACCAGGGGTGCCACCACCAGAGCCAGCAGGACCTCCTGGTGAACAGCACCTCCTGGTGTCCACATCAGGCCTGGCCCTCCCTCCCATCGCATCCTCACAAAGCCAGGTGTGAGGGTGCCCCGTTCCATGACAGGAAGGGCACAGCACGTGTGCCCCCAACTCAAGCCCATCCTTGCTTCCGGGATTAGGTAGAGTTGGGCATTCTGGGTGTCTGGAACTCCCTCTGCCCGGATCCCAGGGGCACCCGGTGCTGAGCATGGCACCTAGCGGGCCATGACCAGTGGCAGCAGGATGGGGCCCTGGCCCCACCCCTGTAGCACGGGCCCTCGAGCATCACCCTCAGGGACCCCTCACCTTCCCCCAGCCCAGGCACCCAGCACGTCCCCCCATCCCAGGGCTGCTTTCCTGGCTTTGTCCCTGTGCTGGCTGGGCAGGAACTTCCTGCTGGAGAATTCCCGGATCCTCCCCGGGAGGCCGCAGGCCTGGCCTGGGAACTTAGGAGGGAGGGAGGGAAGTCGGGGACACTCCTCCTCACCAGGGCCAGGCCTGTGGCAGCAGGGCCTCCCATAGCGCTCTGGGCCGCGGGGTCCTTCCCCACCCAGGGTCAGATGCATCAACCCGCCTAGTCCTCGCACTCAGATACCCCGCGGCCCCTCCGCTGGAACCCAGGACTCTGCAGCAGGGGCAGTCCTGGCATCACGTGGGCACAGACTGGGGACTAGACAGATAAAACGACAGACCCAGACACAATGAGCTTGTTCTGGAGTTGAGGATGAGTGGCAGGTCCACACACACACAGCCGAGGAGGTCGGAGTCAAACTGGGTTTTATTAACAACATCGGAGGCCTGAGTCTGATGGGTGGGGACAGTCTGCCGGGCAGGCCCACCCTGCAGACAGGTGGACACTGTTTATCCCAAGACCCCTGGCCCCAGGGGTTCCTTGGCTGTGCCCTAGAAGGGGGGATACATTCCTATGCAAGTTCCAGGGCCCTGGGGTGGGGCAGACTCAGGGCCAGCACCGGGGTCACTCCGGAGGCCAGTTTCCCATCTCGTCCATCTCCTCAAGGAGCAGGTGCTGGGGGCAGGAGTGAGTGAAGGAAGACGCCTCAGCATCTTCGGGCTCTCCGCTCCCTCCTCTGCACCCCCAGAACTTCCCACCTATCCCCCAGAGACAAGCACCCCGAGGCCACCTTTTTCAGACCCTCCCCCACATCCGCACAGCTTGTCCAGGTCCACCAACCCTGAGCCATCTCCCTCCCATAAAATGGAGGGACCCTTCTGTCTCCAGCTTGGGGGGTTCCTTGCAAGCCCCAGGAGTCAGGCACCCTAGCCAACCCCTGCCTTCCCTCACCTCTGTGCTGAACACCACACCAAGGGGCCTCTGTACCCTTCCCTCCAGCCTAGGGTGGTATGGCAGCTGCCTCTGCGCCCCTCCCCCAAGTCCCCAGCATTCCCCAAAGGCTGGGGTGGCGGCTTCCTTCCCCCCAAGCTTGGTGTCCCTGAGGGTAGATAAGGAGAGATGTGGGGTGGTGAGAAGGACAGGATCCTTGAAACACCCAGAGGAGGAAGGCATTCCTGAGGCTGCTGTCCCCCATGTGAGGACTGAGCTGGGCCCCCACTTGTCACCACCCAGAAACCCCCTGGGGCCCCCCAGTATTGCTCAGGCTACTCCAGGACTGTGACTCCTGGGTCAAGGGCAAGTGCGCTCAGGGAGTCGTTCTGGAGGGAAGGGAGAGGACTGGAGTCCTTGGAACCCTGTGCTCTTCCTTTTGTGAACCGCACGGACGGTCAGGGGCAAATAGCCACTGAAGGAATGAATGAGCTGATGAAGGAATGGAAATGAACTCAAAAAGGACATCGACACGGTTTTCAACAACAGCTCCATCAATGTGCACTCAGAGAAGCTGGGACAGGCCTAACCTTGAAGGCCAATGTCAAGGGGGGTGGCAGCGGGGTAACTCCCCCATGCCTGTGTGTGCTTGTGGGAGTAGGTGTGGGTGTGAATTGGAGAGAAAAAGAGCAACACTGTGTGAATTACAGATGCCCAGGAAAACCTTACAGCTGCCTAGACAAATCCTCTTGTACAGATGAGAAAACTGAGGTCCAGAGAGGGAAAGGGATTGCCCAAGGCCACACAGCAAGCGAATGGCAAACTTAAGACTTAAAAATGGACATTTGGACTCTGGGTCAAGTAGGAGACAGAGGGACTGATGGAGAAGTATGTGTGTTCAGGGGCTCAGGGTTCTCCTCTCTGAAATACCCCCACCAAGGAGAGATTGTGCCTTCCTGCCCAGACAGTGAGGCCTGTGGAGGTGGAGGCCTCCAGCCCACTCTCTCCAGGGCCCTCAGGCAGTGGGGGATGGGGGGGATGGGCCAGGCATACCTGGCCGTCCACAATGCCCGCCTCCTCCAGGGTGATCTCTGGCTGGGTGAGCAGCTCCCGGCCCTCGTGGCTGCCCATCTTCCAGAGGCGGGACTCCCGCTGTACTACCAGAAGCTTCTTTAACTCCGACTCCACGAAACCTGAGAGCCAGAGAAATGGGCACGGGACATGTGGGAGAAGGGAGCAGCAACCTGCTAGGGACCAAAGGAGAAGGTGGTGCCTCGGGACCTCATGCCAGCCCTGTGCAGTCTCTGGTCACCCCCAGCACAGCCCTTTCTTCTTCCATTACCTGGAGCCAGCCAGACACCACCTGCCCACCACCCTGCCATCCCCAGGAATCTCACTTTCCTTGGGCTCCACAATGAGTATGAGTCTCTACCTCCTGGCGAGAGCATGTGAGGAGCAGACATCTGCCCCCCTGTAGCCACCAACTCAGGAGCAAGGATCTGGAACCACCCAAACTGCTTGAGTCCAAGTCCCAGCTCTGCCCCCTTACTGTGTGGCCTCAGACAGGTTACTTAACCTCTCTGTGCCTCAGTTTCCTCACTGTGAAGTGGAGATGATAAGAGGACCTCCCTCAGAGTTGTGATGCAGTATTTCATGAAAAGTGCTTAGAAGAGAGTCTGGCCCATGGGAATGGTGATGTCAACAATGATTTTACCACATTATGGTATTACCACTGAGCCATCTGCTCACCCTGTCTGGGCAGCACAGGGGCTGCACTGGGAGAGCGGACTCTTGGGGCCCTGTCACAACAGTGTGTGATGGGAAAACCAGGGATGGAGGTGGCCAGCGAAGGAGGTAGAATTCCGGGCTGGGAAAAGGTGGTGCTCAGGAGACCACAGCCCCAGTCACAACCGCCACCTCGCTGCCTCCCAAACTCTGAGGGAGGAGGACCCCTGCGAGACCTCACGTGGTGCCCAGCCCAGCCACACGCTGGTCCCCCATCCCCGGTGGTCATCTTAGGTCCTCTGGCTCCACCTGCTGGTGAGAACTGATATCGCACCCGTGAGCCGCTAGCCACAGTGGGGCTCCCGGGCCTGCAGGAGGCGAGGTGGGGGCGCCGCGCTTACCCACGGTGTCTGTCGACCTAAAGGTCTTATGCAGCGGGGACTGGAGGGTGACGGTGCCTGGGACACAGAACTTGAATGAGCTGTCCTCTTCCTCCGTTTCCTCTTCCTCCCCTTTCTCCTCAGGGGTCAAGCCTTCCTTGAGAGGCAACTGAGGGCGTGGGGGGGGGGGGTGTCACCGGGCAGGTGAGAAGGGCGGGCCCCAAGCCTGCAGCCCCCACCCGCCTGCACCCCCTACAACAGAGCGCAGGAGGGAGCAGCTCCCAAAGGTTAAGAAAGGGGACCGCTCCCCCTAGGCCCGGGCCACACATCCTGAGGCCAGCCGGACGTGGAGAGGGAGCAGGGCCCACCCAGGCTCCCCCCATCCCCCCACAGACCTTGACCACCGCTGACTTCTGAAGCTGCTTGTACAAGGTGAGGAGGCGGTTCCAAGGGGTGGCCCCCTCCTTCGAAGAGGCTAGCCTGAGGTCTCCTGTGAAGGGGCAGTGTCACAGACAGGCTGATAGCAATGGGGGGGCGGCCCAGGCCCAGGTGGGCAGGGACATCGGGAAGGCTGGACTGAGGTGGGGTTTCCTTGTTTTCTTTAGCAAACACCTACTATGTGCCAGGCCCAGGCATAGGCACTTTACAAAGAACAGTTCATTTAATCCTTTCAACTACCCTCTGAGATAGGTACTATTATACTCCCATTTCATGGACGAGCAAACTGAGACACAGAAAGGCTGAGCAACTTGCCACTGTCACACAGCTCGGCACAGTGGAGCTGGGATTCAAACCCAGGCAGTCTGCCTCCAGCATTCCGTCAGACTGTCCTGTGTCCTCCCAGGACCCACACCCTGCCAGACCTAGAGGAAGAGGGTCTGTGTCTGGCGCCTGCCCCAGGCCTGTGGCCACCACACTCACCATCAAGCAGACACTCCTTCTCCTCCCTGGTGAAGGCCTCGGGGCTGACCTCCAGCGGCCCCGTGGCCCTCCGCAGGCATCCTTGCTCCGCCTCCAGGGCTCTGGCAAAGTGGCTTCTGATCCCAAAGCATAGTCACGTGGGGCCCAGAGATGCGACAAAGGCCCCTGAGCCCCCAACCCCTCCCAAGGCTCTCCGCCAGGCCCTGCTCAGCCCCCTCCACCTTCCTGCTCCCAACAGCTCCCTGCTCTGCCCTCTGGGGTCTTCATCATAGATGAGGGCTATCGCTCCCCGAAGGTAGGGTGGGGAGCAGAGGGAGAGGTGGGCCCCCTTCCTCACAGGGAGTGGGCACCAGGTCCAAATGGGAGTGGGAACCAGGAGGGAGAGAGTGGGGAGGGAAGGCAGGGTGGGGCGGGGCCCAGAAAGGAGCTGGAAGCAATGGGAGCTCAGTCGGCCCTGGCATGCTCCCTTCCCAGTCCCCAGCCTGTCCCCCTTCCATCTCTGGTGCCTCCATCCACCTGTCTCTGCCTCCTCCCCACCACCCCCATCTCTGGGCTCCTCCCCAGCCAGGTATCCGGTTCCAGTCCTCTGCCCATCCGAGGACTCACATTCCTGGACCCTCTCCAATCTGGGTCCTCGCATCTTAGGCCCATATCTTTCCCCCAGCTTACATCCCGGCCTCACCGGCCCCAGCACCTCCATCCCAAGCCCCTTCCCACCACAGCCCAGCCCCTCACCTGCTGGAGGTCCCTGGGTCCCCGGAGGCCTCGCCTGCTGCCTCCTCCTCTTCCCTCCCCTCCTTCTCAGACAGGTTGTCCAGCACCTCCTGGCTTCCTCTGGGCAGGACTGACTTCACCTCCACACCCTGGGCCGCGACCCTCAGGACCTCCACGGGGGTGGGGGTCTGGGTCCCCATGTCCCCCAGCCCCGAGGGACTGTGCCGTGGCACGGCCACAGAGAGGACGTAGGGCAGTGTGGCGGGTGACCTGGGCTGCTTCCTCCCCACTCCTCCCTTGCGATCTGTCATCAGGGGCATGGCGTCCTGCTCTTGCGAGGGGCACGCCCGACCCGGTGACAGGGCCTTGGCGGAGCTTTTGGGGCTGCTCTTTCTCCCCACCAGGCTATGGAAAAAGCGCAACATGGAGGAGCGGCCCAAAATTCGAGGTCGAGGCGTTGGAGCTGGGGCCTCCATCCTGAGGGGGACCCTGACTCAGAGGGAGGGGCCGTAGCAGCCACCCCCAGGACCAACTGCTTAAGAACAGGAGGAGTTTTCAAATTAAAACCTCCAGTTGGAAACTTCCAGGAGTTCTAGAAGGCAAAGGTCAGGCAGGCGAGGGGAATGTTGGGGGGTGGGGGAGGACCTGGTGGTGGGGCTTAGTTGCGGGCAGAGAGGGCAGGGTTTGATGAGGCAGGGGCAGGAGGTATAGGGAGCCAGACTGAGGGTGGCTTGGGAGGCTCCAGGAGATGTGGGGGTCGGGGGCAGGCAGAGGAGGCTGGGGGGGGACCAGGGCCCCGAGAATGGGGCAGGGGCTCTTAAGGACGTGCACACTCCTCTCTCCCCCTGGCTTGTCCTCTGGCTGAGGCTGCTGCTGTCCTTGAGAACCTTCCCCATGCCCAGATAGTCTTTGACCTCACTCTTCTCTCCTCTCAGCATCCAGCTTGCCGGCGCCCAGGTGGTAGCACAGACCCCACTGTGTTTTCACCTCTGTTTAGCTGCCTATCACCTTCAGGATCTCGTCTCTCCAGAGACACGAGGCGCCTGGTGCACGCGTCTTAACCGCACGTTGAATCTCAATTTAGCATTATTATTCCCCAGGGCACCTACAGACCTGATTATAAACCCAGCTCAGGGACCCTGGGAGAGTTCCTTAAACCAGTGGAGCCTCAGTTTTGTTCCTCTGTAAAATGGGTGTAGTCCACAGCACCTACTTCCCAGGGTTGTGAGATATAGTGAGACAATGGTTGCTAAAGGGCAGGGCACAGGCAGTGCTTAAAAAGTGTCACCACCCTGATTGTTTTATTGGTATGTATTGATCAAAGGAAGAGAGGGCAAGATCAAGGAGGAGGGCTGGGAATCAGGGGTAGGAAAAGCAGCGGGGGAGAGGGAGCCGCTCCGCCGGCCTGGACCCGTGGGTAGGGTGCGGGAGCGGCTCCCAGGGCCGGGCAGCCCAGACCGCCCCCTAGGCTGCAGGCCGGTGCATCCGTATCCGGCGGCCACAGAGCAACTTCCTCTAGAGGGAGCTGATTGGAGCCGGGAGCAGCCGGCACCTCTATGATCGGCGCAGCCTCGCGGGTCCCTGGGGCCGTGCGCGCCAGGACAAGCAGAGGCTGCATCCAGGCACCAGAAATTCACTGACGCCCGTTCCTGGAAGCCAGCCCTGGGCACCATACCCCAGGGAGCAGCCGCTGGCCACTCGGGACCTCCGGCCTCGGCCCCGCTGAGCCATCCTGGCCTGGCCCAGGGTCCGGGCAGGTAAGCTGGAGGATCTTGCCCATCCACCCCGCTCTCGGCAGTCCCAGGCCCAGGGTGGGGCAGGGAGCCCGTAGGCAGTAGGGTGAGGAGGGGGAGGCCTTGCGGCTTGCCTGGGCAGCGCTGCCAACCCCTGCTGGGGGCCTGATCCAGCCAGGGCTCCCTCTGGCTGCCCCTCAGACGGCTTCCCCTCTCGCCCTGGCCCTGGGTGCCAGAGAATGGAGTGCCAAAGAACCGGGTCCCTTAGCAGTCCGGGAGATGGGAGTGGAGGTCAGACCCAAGGTCAAGGGCAGGGGAAGAACTTTGATGGCGCTTCCTGCCGCCCCAGGACCCCTAGCCTGGGTGGGTAGCCCGGGCAGTCACCTACCCCTAAGAACATCCTGGGCCCAGCAAGTGGGGTGCAGTGGACTCCCTTTACCAGGAAGTGAGGCCACTTGGGCTGGGCAGGGGTGAGCCCAGGGCAGCATCAGGCCTCTGGCCCTGGGGGCCGTTCTGAGGTTCCACCTGCTCCCCGGCACTGAGCCCCTGGGGTGCTGGTGGAGGGAGCTGGAGTACAGTCAGCATCCTGGGGCCCTGCTGTCCTGGGGTGCCGGGTTTCAGGGACCAGGGAGAGGGAAGGGCAGCTTGATCCTTGATCGGGAAGGAGCTGCCTGGATGGGGGTGTGCCAGGCAAAGGTCTGTTTTACAGAGGCCGAGCACCCCGGGGCGGAGGGGGATCTGCCCTCTCCCCGTCCTGCCCCAAGAGGGTGGAGGGGTGGAGAGCTGAGTGCACAGGTGGTCCTGCCCCACCTCCCCCCCCCCCCCCCCCCCCCCCCCCCCCCCCCCCCCCCCCGCCTTCTCTGGGGGCACTTTCGAAAATGGCCCCAGGCCTGAGTGGGAGGCAAGTGGGCCAGGGAGGGTACTGTGCCTCCCAGGGAGGAGGGGGCGAGGTGCTGGCCAGGGCGGGGCTGTGCCCTCCCCAGGGATGGGAGGAGGGGCGCTTCTTGCCTGGGTGATGGAGGCAGCTTTGGGGTGGAGGGGAAATGAAGGGGGTGCAAATTGAAAGTGAAACAGCTTATGTCCAGGAAACACTCCTTCTGTCAAGGGTTCACAGGGCAGATCGTGGCTGCGGCCGGGACTGGGCGAAGAGGAAATCTGGGGCTGGGACAGGCGAGCGGGCGGGTGGTGGGGGTACATGGGTGAGGCAGGCTGGGGGGCTGTGAAGAAGGCCCTGGCTCTTGAGGCCTTCCTCAGCTCACTGCTGGGCAGGAACGGGAAGAGCACAGGCCAGGCGTAAACAGGGGAAGTTGCCCTGGATAGGACACCCTCTGAGGTCCACAAACTGGAAAATAAGTCTTAAATGAGTGTTGAGTACATGGACTCATGGAAATTCAGATAGCCATTCTGACTCCCTGACCAGCGAGGTGGCCTCGGGCACTAACCTTTGTGCCTCACTTTTCCCACCTGTAAAGTGGGTCTGGTGATGCTTACCTTCCTGGGTTAATGGGTACTCTCATTGTCCAGCACCCCCCGGAGAGGGCTCACACATGGCAGAAGTATACCATAGGCGCTCAGGAAATGTTTGCGGCTAAGAGGCCTGAGTTGGAAAACAGGTGTGCTCTGACCAGCCAAGGGGAAGTGGGACCTTCGAGGACAGCCTTCATGGGTCATTGGCTGGAAGGTAGCAAGCCTGCGGTAAGTGTGTGCTGGGTGGGGTGCAGGAGGCCCCAGGAGCAGCTGAAAGAACCCCCAGCCTCTGAAACTCGCCTCCCTTGCCCAGGAGTGAGATGAAATGGGACTTGAGACGCACTAGGCACTCAGTGGCCCCAGAGGCCTGGCTGCTGACTGCAGATCCCTGGGTGTGTCTCTTGGCTGCCTCGCTCTCTCTTGCCCAGTCTCCTTTGACGGGTTGCCAGTGTGACACTCTCTGAGTTCCGATTTGGTCAGCAGACTGCATGAGGAACCAAGGTGGCGAAATAAGAGTGGTGAAATAAGGCTGGAGCTAGGACTGTGGGGTCTTTTGGGCATGAGGCCCCCCTCCCTCCTGTGTGGCTGTGGGAACCTCTTTTTGGTGACCCCTGCGCGTCCCCATCTCTGCTTTTCCTCACCCATCCCCACAGGCTAACACTGTCCTCCACCGGGACCTGAAAAATGGCGTCCGGGCAAGGCCCAGGTCCTCCGGGGAAGGAGTGCGGAGAGCCTGCCCCGTCCTCCACTTCTGGTAAGGGTCTTCCCGCCCCTCACCCATCCCATAGCCACCAGGGCCCTCTGTGAGGGTGCAGAGAGCAGACGTGGACAGGGTCAGGCAGGACCTATGGGCAGACTCTCCTGCCTCAGTTTACTCACCTTGGATAAAGGAGAAAAGTATCTCCCCACCCAACGCAGGTGGCCCGGTGGCCTCAGAAGCTGGAGTTCGGTCAAGGTTATGCCCTGGGAGTGGGGAGGAGTCTGGTCCCTGGAGGGTACCAAGGCTGGGAGAGGCTGGGGAGTGAACATGAGGCAGGCACAGCGCCATCCCAGGGCAACAGGGCAGGATGGGGGAGGGGGCAGAAGCGCTGGGCTGGGTGGCCTATCCCTGCCGGAGGAGAATAAGGAAGTAAGGTGGCTTATCACCAATCAGGTCTGCTAAACAGGGAGTGGGATTGTTTTACGGCTTTGGGGAGGAAGTAAGATGGCTGCCCTTCTTCCCTCTTCCAAGGGGACCATCGGGGAGGCCTGCAGCCCACAGCCCACCTTGTATTGTTCCCTGGACTTTGGGGTCGGGTCCCAGGTCTGTCCCTATTTCCCTATGTGACTTTTATGGCTCCACATTCCCTAAGCCGTCAGAGCCGGGTCCGTTGTACGCACTAAAACAAACTCGGGGGCCCAGGTGCCTGGGGTTATATCCTGGCTCCACTGCTCGTTCTAGCTGTATGATCTTGTGCAAGTTCCATAAACACCCCGTGCCTCGGTTTCCCCAGCTGTAAACTGGGGATCACCTACTTCACAAGGCCGTGTGAGGATTAAATGAAAAGTGCCAGAAGAGTGCCCTGCACAGAGGAAGCACCAGGTGTTAACCGAGGGTTAGAGAGGGACGCTTCTGTCCCCGGGCAAGGACAGCTGTGACCTTGAGCTGTCCTTCCTCCCTGACCCCCGGCTTTGATCCTCAGAGGAGCAGGTAGCCCGGGACACGGAGGAGGTTTTCCGCAGCTACGTTTATTACCGCCACCAGCAGGAGCAGGAGGCCGAGGGGGCGGCTGCGCCCGCCGACCCAGAGATGGACACCCTGCCCCTGGAACCTAACAGGTGACAGCAGCCCCCGAGCCCCGCTCCGGGGAGGCAGAGGCTGACACAGGGTTGCTGGGCAGGTCTGGGAGCTGGGGAAGCCTGGGGGGTCTTGTCCTTCTCCCACTGTTGCTCCCTTTTCACTGTGGGCTCCCACCCCCATGTGGGACCTTGATCCTTTTTAGCACATGCCTGCCCCTTGACCCTGGGCCCAGCCCTCACGTCTGAGAACACTGTCAGGGCCTCCAAGGAGGAGTGCCCAAGGCCAGGGGCATCTCAGGCAGAACCCCTTCGCTGTGGTCTCGGGCCCAGCCCTGACCGCCCGCCTGTCTGCTTCCCCACCTGCCTCCCGTTCCTCCAGCACCATGGGGCAGGTGGGGCGGCAGCTCGCCATCATCGGGGACGACATCAATCGGCGCTACGACTCGGAGTTCCAGACCATGCTGAAGCACCTGCAGCCAACAGCAGAGAACGCCTATGAGCTGTTCACCAAGATCGCCTCGAGGTAGCCCTGGCCACGGCCTCTCTGTTGTGCAGTCACCACGCCGCGCCCTGCCCGTGGGATGGGAGACACGCGCTTCTCTCTGTCAGTGTCAGGAGACATGTTTGCTGTCCCTGTGTCTGGTTAACTCACACGCGGTCTTGGCCCCCATCTTTCTCTCTCTGGGTCCAAGACTCCTCATTGTTTGTGCATAGGCTCCCAGCTCTTGTGAGCTCTGGCACTGAGGACCCGACTCAGGTTAGATCAGGACGGTAGCGGGGTCTGTGTGGGGATGTCCCCAGAGCTGCCCAGCCCAGTTGGGACTCAGCTGTCCTTCCAATTTGGGACTACATTTCATACCAAAGATGATAAGGTTGCTACCCTCTACCAGGGCCTGGAAATGGCTTCCAGATGCTATTATCTGGCATCCGAAAGGCGATCTGGGATGGTGTTTAAAGAAACCAAATGCCTGGGCCCAGTCTCAGCTTTGCCACTTACTGTTTTTGTGAAACTTTCTAGCCTTCAATCTCCTCCATCCATAAAAGAGGGGAAACATGCCTAGGATGGTGTCGTTGCTTCAAGGTGTTAGCTGTTGTTACCATCTGGGCGAGGGAGATTTGAAGCTGGGCATGAAGGAAGGAGCAGGCACCAGATGCAGAATTAGTGCTCACAGCTGCAACCTCCTGCCCCCTGTCCGTAGAGGCCACCCCCACCCCACTGTGATTCCAGGACCTGTCCTAATCTCCTCTTCTGTCCTTTTCTCTCTGCTGTCCCTCGGGCTGCCAGGCCAGCAGCAACACCCACAGGTAATCTCCTGCTGCCTCTGCCTGCTCGCTCTGCCCTCTGCCCTCTGCCCTCTCTGTGCCCCTTTGCGCCCACAGCACTGGGGCCACCCCCAGCGGCAACATCCCGCTTATGTGCCCCTTGAGCTTTCTCCTTTCACAGAGACCCAGGCTCTTCCCGAATTGAGGCCAGGCTGGGGCAGCCTCTGCCGCCTCGATTCACAGCTAAGCCATTTTGCTTTCGAGCTGTGAGAGAGGTGGGAGTAGAAGGGGGTGGGAGAGGGAGAGCAGGCTGAAGGGCCTCCCGGGGGTCTCTACTGATGGCATCTGATGCTCTGCCCACAGCCTGTTTGAGAGCGGCATCAACTGGGGCCGAGTGGTGGCTCTCCTGGGGTTCGGCTACCGCCTGGCCCTGCATGTCTACCAGCGCGGCCTGACCGGCTTCCTGAGCCAGTTGACCCGCTTCGTGGCTGAATTCATGCTGCATCACTGCATTGCCCGGTGGATCGCACAGAGGGGCGGCTGGGTGAGTGCCCAAGCATCGGCAGCCCTCTTCCTGTGCTGAGGCTGCCCCTCTCTCGGCCCCATCTGGGTCCTGGGAGCCTGCAGATGCTGTCAGCCCCTTGATGACCACTCTGTCTCTCCTGGCAGGTGGCGGCTCTGGACTTGGGAAATGGCCCCATCCGGAATGTGCTGATAGTTCTGGCTGTGGTTCTGTTGGGCCAGTATGTGGTACGAAGATTCTTCAAGTCATGACTCCTGGAGGGGCCCTTTGGGGTCCCAACTGAGACCCCTGCCTGGACTTCAGCCAATCCTTCTCCCTTCACCCCCTCCCCTGCAGGGGTCCCCCCCTCAAGTGTACAGAAGCTTTAGCAAGTGGCACTCCCGCCTTGGAGGGTCCCTGCCCAGGGGTCAGTCAGGCTATAGGGGTGCCCCAACATTGCATGGTGCTATTGGGCCCCATCCTGTCAGACAGGGGCTGTAGCCTCCTCCCTCAGCTCTCTGGGAGCCCCTCAGCCCTGGCTGCTGGGTGTTGGGGAGACTGATAACTTGGGGAAGCAAGAGGCTGGGAGCCACTTCTCCCAAAGAAGTTGTTAATGGTTTTAGCTTTTTATAATACCCTTGGGAGGACCCTCCCCCAGCCCCACCACTCTGCCCAAGCCAGGATGTCTGGGCTGTGGGGATTAGCAGGCGTACCTTGTGTTCCCTGGGACTCAGCTGCTCTGGAAGGTCAGAGATGAGACCTGAGCCCAGAGCCCAGTCCTGACCCTTCCTAAGCCCATGTCCCCCAGGAAGAGGACTGCCCGGGGCTGGGGCTCAAGGTTCTGCTCAGCTGCCCCTGCTCCCACTCCCCCCACCCCATGTTGCCTTTGCAGTTGGACTCTCAGGGATTCTGGGCCTGGGGGCTGGGGTGGGGATGGAGACCGGAGCTGTGTGAACTTATCCAGCACCCTCCAGCCTGCCTCCTGAGGGCCGCCGTTCTCTGCCTTCCCCTCACCCCTTGCTTCCAGCCCATTCACTACAAGTGAAGCCTGCCCCACCCCTCCCCCTCCAGATGAGGAAGCAGGGGCCTTGGATGAGTGGAGGGCTCAGGCCCCCTCCTTGCCCAGACTACAGGGTTTAGGACTGTGGTGTGTGATTGTCAGGGAACGAGGGTAGGGAGCCCATCTTGAGGTTTCTGAGTGAGAGAAGGGCTAGTAACACCACTAGGAACCCCAGGGTTGGGATCCTCCCTCATGGCCCGGGCACAGTGTAATCAGGGGGAATGGATGGGGAACTGTGAATACTTGAACTCTACCCCCAATCCCCCCACCCTCTACACCCCCACCTGCCCTAAGCCCCTCCTGTGGGCCAGGGTGGGGGTGCCTTGTCTATCTTGCACAGCCTAGGGGAAGGGGAGAGAGAGTACTGATTAAGCCAAATGCATGGAGGGGCTGCAGATGGAGCCTACTGCCACCCCTCAACCCTCTATGCCTGAAAATAAACTGCAGTCCCCCCACAACCGCTTGCTAATTTTTCTGTCTTCTGCCCGCCCCCCCGCCCCCGCCTCTCCATCAGGCTGGATGGGGGAACCTGGGCATGCCTGACATTCACCTGGTTTATTACTGAATAATGTCTCATCTTGGGCCTGCAGAATCCTGTGGAGAGCTGGGTGTGGTCTCCAGACCCCTAGAAGGTCTTGGCTCCTCCCCAATCTCTAGCCCCTTCTCCAGGCACTTCCCTCATTTCTTAGGGTTCCAGGCAAGTTTTCCACTCCCTTAGGAAGTCGGGGGACCCCAAACTGTTGGACTCCGGCTGCAGAGTGGTAGAGCAGCTGCACATGCCTGGGGACCCCCACAGGCCACCTTAGGCCTGGCCTGATTTCCTCTCTCTTCCTTGGGCCATCACCCACGCTAGCCCAAAAAGCTCTTCTCCCCCACACTTGGCTCTGCCTGGGACACACTGTCCCAGCTCCCTCTTCTGGATGTCCCCCACAGCTAGCACACACACAGGGCTTTTCATTCTAGTTTTGTGCTGCATGGGAGTCCCTATGGGGACGCAGCCAGGGGTGATAAAAATAACACGTGTGGGGGCGTTGAAATGTTCCAAAATTTACAAAGTCTTTCCAGGCCCGGGCATCCTGGTCTCTGTTCTGACACCCTTCCTAAACGGTCACATGGAAGTCCTAAAGGACTCGGCTTCACTTTCACTCCTCTGAGGGCGTCTTGCCAATCCCCTCGCCCCTCCGACTTGGTCTTCAAAGAGTCAGCGCACAAATGTAGTCATGGAGAGTGGTCCTCGCAGCAGTGGTGGCCGGAACGGTGGTGCCTACGAGGCACCCCGCAATCTCCTGCAGGAAAAGTTCATAGACATTTGTGGAACTCGCACTACGCACCGGCTTCATGCTGAGAACATACATCCAAGCCCCATCAGTAGGTAATACAGCTGGTGACCTGGGGTGGGGAACAAACTCCTACTTTACAGATAGGGAAACTGAGGTACCTGCCCAGAGTCACAGGTAGGAAAGGGCGGGGAGCTGGCACTCGCCATCAGGATGCTGGTTCCACGTTTTACGTGGAGGCTGGAAGGATGGGAGCTGGCGCCACTGGTCTCAAGCACAAGCCTGCCGAGGGGTTAGCTGAGTAGGAGGTGTAAGGTCGCCTCTGCGGCCCCGGGTGCAGCCGCAGCTCGAAGACGCAACCCTCCCCAAGACTGCAGGAAGTGAGCGGGCTGCCCGAGTCCAAGATGGCGGCCGCCGCGTCGCGCACGCAAGCGTGCCCTCTTGTGGGCGGGGCCTCCGAGCGCACCTCCCTCTCCCTCCCACAGGGTTTGGAGGAGGAGGCCCACGCACAAGAGCAGATACCTCCAAGGCTGGAGGAAAGGAGGGGGAGTGGTGGCGGGAGGTGCGGTCTTCTCGGCCCCTGAAAGAAAGGAGTTGGAACGCTATGCTGGAAGGCCTGGGGAGCCCCAAAAGGTTTTGGCCTGTGCCTAGCCCAGCCCCCTCCTTTCCACCCTCTATTCTGCCAAGATGAAGTTTCTAAAACCGAAATCTGGGCCAACCCGGTGGTGCAGCAGTTAAGTTCGTAGGTTCCGCTTAGGTGGCGCGGGGTTCGCCAGTTCGGATCCCAGGTGCGGACATGGCGCCGCTTGGCAAGCCATGTTGTGGTAGGCGTCCCAAATGTAAAATAGAGGAAGATGGGCACGGATGTTAGCTCAGGGCCAGTCTTCCTCAGCAAAAAGAGGAGGATTGGCAGCAGATGTTAGCTCAGGGCTAATCTTCCTCAAAAAAGTAAAAAAAATAAAAAAATAAAACTGAACTCTAAGCGCATTCTGGAGTTGCCTAAACCAGGGCTCAACCAGGGCGTGAGAACTTAGGAGGGACAGAATAAGGCTGGGGCTGTGGGTGTACAGGGAGCACATGGGTTCTGCAGGTATTAAGGAAGTTAAATCAAATTCTCAAAATTTGTGGTTCTGAAATTGAAGCTTCGTTTCCACCGAAGAGGTCTAGATTCCTCAGTCTATGGAGCCACTGAGTTCGGGAGACCAGCCCGGGGAAAGGAGCGCGTTCAGGTGGCATCTGCTCAGTTTTGTGCCGTGTCAGTATAAACACCTGCCCTGCCTTGTACCCAGCGCGTCCTCGCCCCCACCCTGCAGCTCACCTTCATGTGTTTGCTGTTTTACCCCTTCTAAGAGAGCTTATTTTAGGTCACTGGGTGTCCATCCAAATGAGAAAATCCTTCCTTCGCCCGAACCCTCAGTAAGTTGTTTGAACAAGTTTTTAATGACTTAACTATCTGAATGCCATTAAAATTAATTTGTTAATTAAAATAAATGAAACCACCATACCCTGCCCCACTTGTACACACCTCAGATGTAAAGACCCTGACGAAGACGCTTGCAAAATATGGATTTAGGGATTTAGTTCAATCTAAGCAGAACAGATGTTGATAATCCTCTGTGTGAGAGAGAGAGAGAGAGAGAAATGGAGCTACCAAAGATTGCTGGAGGTGTCCAAAGGTCAGGGAGCAGAAAATCAACTAATTGGGGCGTGTTCACCAATTGCCGGACATGTTAAAAAGGTGAACACCAGACGACTCGGATATGAAAGATGGGAAGGAGGGACTCAGCCCGCCAGATAAGAGGATGAAAAGCAGTGATGTGGCTGTTGAGCACATGACCGGAAGCAGATCTCTGGCAAATTGTCTGAATGATCCGGTAGAGGGGCAGCCTCACAAGCCCAAGATCAGGTAATGGACTAATGTGGGCAGAAACTGGACTTTTCTGAGAAAAGTCCCTTAATAGCTGAAGGGACTAAAGCCACAGAATCTCCTTCCACATGGCATGTGGGATTTGGCAGTGGATGCCGGCGGGCACCACGTGGCTGCCTGTGAGGATGTGCGTGTGCGTGGCATCGGGAGAGGTGCATCTGAGTGGGCATCGCCTGTTGAAATCAACATGGAAATCAGTGTTCCTCTCCCCTTATCTCAACTCTCCCTTTGCAATTTTGGAATCATTCCTGGTGCCCAGTGCCTCAGCTTTTTCCAGATTTGGCTAAGAACACAGCGTGAAAACAGTTCGTCAAAGTTGTCTGCTCCATCACATCACGCGGTGAACCTACTTTACAGACTTCACGGCACAGGCTTTTGTGAGGATTAGCTGCTGGGCTAATTAGGGAGCTGGGCTCACCAACCTCCTCATGTTTTCACCTGACCCCTCTCTGACCTGACCTCTGACCCTACTGAGAGCAGCTTCTCCAATTCACTTCCCGCAGATGGTTAGGCTTCCTCAAGAGTGAGAACATTTTCTTGCTAAATTCTCAGGAGGACCACGCCAGGGAAAGGCAGGGGGAATTTGGCACGTCCAGAGCCTCTGAATTGTGTTTGTTGTGAATCAGAGTGCAAGGGAGGGGCTGGGCTAGACTTAGGGCCGCGGGTTCCCATGTCTGCTGAGAAAGAATGAGGTTTCCAGGAACGTGAGTAACATTTAGTACCAAGCTGTGAGAGAAGGGCTGTGTGCAGCATGAAAGCCAAGTGCTACCTGGTAAGGAGGTGGGGGAATGTCCCTACTTGTGATGGACAAGATTGTCTTCACATGACAGTGGACTTTCATTCTGGGTGGCCTGAACAATGGGCTTGCCAGGAGTGGCCCCCCTTCCTTCTCCCAGTGAGAAGGCCCACACCCAAGCTCAGCTTATCTTGGGACTGGGGGCTATTCCCGTATTCTGAGTATTCTGTGCCCCCCTCTCCCTGGCCAGCTGGGGACACGGTACTATCCACAGGCCCGAGGTATCCAGTTACTGGCATCCTCAACTCAACAACTCCTGTAATGGGCTGGCACCCCAAATCCAGACTGCACGGTGCCAAGCAGCCTCTGTTGACAAGGCTGCTCTCTCATGCCAGTTGCATACAAAGGCGGGGTGATGGCAGGAAGACCCTTCTTCGGGGACGCACACTGGAAAGCAGGCCCAGTTACTGCTGCCCTGGCTCCCCTCCCCGGGGATGAAAGGTGAGTCAGGGGACCCACGGCTGCCTCTCTTCTTATTGACCTCCTTGTTTTCTCTTTCCTCAGTAAAGCTGTAAAGGAAAAACACACTCCTGTTTTCTATCTACTCACAGCACTACTGTCACTTCTGGCCACCAATGTATGGGGTTTTTCCCACACCAAGCAATTCTGTGACAGCAGCTGGGTGTCCTACAATTTAACTCAATTCGGACACTATCTTCCTGGACATACCGTCAGATCCCACAGGTTAAGGGCCCAGTCCCTCAAGATTGCTCCCCACCCACCCTCCTCGGACACCAATCTCAAGTCCAGGTTGTCACCTGTGCTTCTGACCCACTGGCTTGGAGGTGCCAACGGCTCCCTCTTCGGGTTCGATTAGTTTGCTAGAGCCACTCACAGCACTCGGGAAAACAGTTTACTCAATAGATCACCAGTTTACTACAAAGGATATTAAAGGATACAAATGAACAACCAGACTTAGAGATACTTAGGGCGAGGTCTGGAAGGGTCCAGCGCACAGGAGCTCCTGTCCCCATGGACTTTGGGGTGTGTCACCCCCCTGGCAAGTGGATGCATTCTTGTTCACCAACCCAGAAGCTCCCCCGAACCCTCTAGTTCAGAGATTCTTGGGGAGGTTCCATTACATAGACACGGTTGATTAAATCATCGGCCACTGGTGGCTGATTTCACCTCCAGCGTCTCCTTCCCAGAGGTGAGGGGGCGGGACACTGGAATACCCAATTCTCTAATCAAGGTAGGTTCCCCTGGCAACCAGCCCCCATCCTTAGGGGCTTTCCAAATGTCACATCATTAACATAAACTCAGGTATGGTTGCAAGGGGCTTGTTGGGATGAACTAAAGACACCTTTAAATACCTTTTTTTTTTCCTTCTTTTCCCCAAAAGCCCCCCAGTACATAGTTGTATATTTTAGTTGTGGGTCCTTCCAGTTGTGGCACGTGGGACGGCACCTCAGCATGGCTTGATGAACGGTGCTAGGTCTGTGCCCAGCTGCCGAAGCAGAGCACGCGAACTTAACCATTCGGCCACAGGACCGGCCCCTAAATACCACTTTTATCACTTAGGAAATTCCAAGGGTTTTAGGAACTCTGTGCCAGGAACAGGGATGAAGACCAAATATATATTTCTTCTATAAATCACAATATCAGGAGAGCCTATTCCTGTGCTACATGTTGCTGTGGAATTGGTCTCGAACCCAAGTGCCTGAATGGTTTTGTCCAATGGAGAGGCAGTTTGGAGAGGGTGGAGGAGGGAAAGCAGGAGGCAGAGGGGTTTGGGAAGGAGAACCCCAGTCTGTGTCTCAATGAACGTCTCTTCCTTGCTGCTCAGGGCCCACCATGGCTTCACACCACCGTGCCTCCCTCTGTCACGGCTGCCCTGAGTCAGCCTCTTCTCTGTACACTGTTCACTCCTCCTCTCCCCATCTCCGATTTCCCATTCCCACTACCAAGGCCCTTGGGTGGGTTCTCAATGTTCTAGGTTTTGCTAACAGTCCTTCCTCGGGTCCTGCCCTGCTCAGATCATTCCCACCACCCCACCACTGCCAAACTGGCTTCACAAAACATTGTCTTCATCATGTCGCATTTCCACTTAAAATCTAGGGGATTCCTTCTACTCATTACACTCACCTCCTCTTCGCTGGCCCCCAGTGGAGGCGCTGGAGAGTCAAAGGCTCTATCCTGCGGCTGGCCCGGTGGCACAGCAGTTAAGTTCGCACCTTCTGCTGCTTGGTGGCCTGGGGTCTGCCACCCAGATGCGGACATGGCAGCGCTTGGCAAAAGCCATGCTGTGGCAGGCGTCCCACGTATAAAGTAGAGGAAGATGGGCATGGATGTTAGCTCAGGGCCAGGTTTCCTTAGCAAAAAGAGGAGGATTGGCAGTAGTTAGCTCAGGGCTAATCTTCCTCCAAAAAAAAAAAAAGGGCTCTATCCTCAGGGAGCTTACACTTCAATGGAGGAGCGTCAGGCAGTGATGATGACCCAGGGAGCAGTGTCAGGGAAGCCCGGGGGCCATGGGGTACCAAGGGAGATGCACCAAGCCTGGTCTGGGGTTGATCCAGGGAGACTTCTCAGAGGAAGGAACAAACTCATCATGTCAGACACGCCCTTGAGCCCTTCTCAATGGCTTCCAGCCTTTTTTCTTACTCCTAACAAATGGTCCACATACCACTCTGGAGTCTTCAGAGTTCTTCCCACTTCTTCCCCATTCCCCAACCCACATTAACCAGGAATGTCTCCCCTCACCCATCTCCTTTGTTTGTTTAAACATAGCTACTTCATCCCTTAACATCCAAAGGGCAGCAGGATATACCGTCCCCAAATATGCCACTTCGGTATATTTTGAGCTGTAGGCACTTGAAAAATAGCAAATGCAGGGAGAGGCTTTCTCTGAATTCCTGTATCTGCCTAAAGACAGATCTTCCAAAAGGAACTCAATGGTCATATATCCCCCTACCCAGGAGTTTCATCAGCCAGGGAAGGTTGACCCTTATCCCCTAGAGGAGACTAGAAGTCCACATCACACCCAGACAGACTGTCACAAACTACCATGTCTTTCATCTCTTCTTCTAAGGGCCCATTC